CTCCAAAATCACTGCAGATGGTGACTGCAGCTTTGAAATTGAAAGACGCTTGCTTCTTGGAAGAAAAGTTATGACCAACCTAGACAGTATGTTAAAAAGCAGAGACGTTACCTTGCCAACAAAGGTCTGTCTAGTCAAGGCTATGGTTTCTCCTGTAATCATGTATGGATGTGAGTTGGTCTGTGAAGAAAGCTGAGTGCCGAAGAATTGATGCTTTTGAACTGTGGTGTTGGAGAAGACTCTTGAGAGTCCCTTGGACTGCAAGGAGATCCAACCAGTCCATCCTAAAGGAAATCAGTCCTGAATATTCTTTGAAAGGACTGATGGTGAAGCTGAAACTCTAATACTTTGGCCACCTGATGCGAAGAACTGACTCATTGGAAAAGACTGATGCTGGGAAAGATTGAAGGCGGGAGGGGAAGGGGACAACAGAAGATGAGATGATTGGATGGCATCACCAGCTCAATGGACATGAGTTTGAGTAAACTCCAGGAGTTGGTGCTGGACAGGGAGGCCTGGCGTGCTGCAGTCCATGAGGTCACAAAGAGTTGGACACGATTGAGTGACTGAACTGAACTGAAGTGAAAGTGAAAGTTGCTCAGTCGTGTCTGACTCTCTGTGACCCCATGGACTATATAGTCCATGAAATTTTCCAAGCTGGAATACTGGAGTGGGTAGCCGTTCCCTTCTCCAGGAGAACCCAGATCTTCCCAACCCAGGGATTGGACCCAGGTCTCCCACATTGTGGGTGTATTCTGTACCAGCTGAGCCACAGGGAAGCCCAAGAATACTGGAGTGGGCAGCCTATCCCTTCTCCAGCTGATCTTCCCCATCCAGGAATTGAATCTGGGTCTCCTGCATTGCAGGGGGATTCTTTACCAACTGAGCTATAAGGAAAGACAAGTGTTAACAAAGAATGTCTTAATTGATGTGTTCAGTAAAAATGCCTCTAATGTTTCCCTGTTTAAAGAAGGATGCTGACTTTAAAACAAAGTGTATTTATCATGCTAAGAAAGTATTCATCAACTCTTGTTTTGTTGAGTGTTTTTTTTAGAATCAGGAATGGGTCTTAAGATTTGTTGAAGGCTTTTTCAGCATATATGGAGATGATCATGATTTTTCTTTTTTGAGCTATTCGTATGATGTGTTTTATTAATGGATCAAATTAGCTTTGCATTCTTAGACTAAATCTCTCCTGTTCTTTGTATATCATTATCTTATACATAGGACAAGATATTTTATTGGATTTTGTCTGCTAATATTTTATTTAGAGCTTTTACATCAATATTCAGAGGTGATTTTGGCCTGTATGTTTCTCTAATCATATGTGTATCTCTAATCATAACCCTAATTCTGGATCCACACCACACAGGGTTTATGTAGGGATTTTTTTTTCTGTTTCTTTTAAAAAATGTTTGTGTATCAATGTTAAATTGCTTCATAAAAAAGAATTAAGTTTTTCTACATTTTTTAAGCTTCTGAATAATTTTTACAACATAGAAGGTATTTGGTTTTTGCAGCTTTGATAGGCTTTCCCTGTGAAACCATCTGGGCATGGGTCTTTTTGTGGAGTACTTCTTGATAACTTTGTTTCTCCTATGGGAATTTTTCTCTTTTAACTTTCTGTCTGTAATGTGATCAGTTTAGGAAATTATCCTCTGCTTATGACTTTTCACATTTCTTTATACAGATGTCTATAATGTCATGACTTTTTCGTTTCTTCTGATTCAGTGGTATTTCACTCTTATTATTTTTGATTTTGGATATTTGTGATTTCTACTTCAACTTATCTAATGGTATGTTTATTTTGTTATTTTTTTCTTAAGCATACAAAATTTTGATTTGTCTAGGAGAACTAATGTTTTTCTATTCAGTACCTCATTAATTATTGCCTTTATTTCCTTCTTGGTACTTTCTTTTGGCTTTTTCCACATTTTGAACTGGGAATTTACTTATTTTTATTCTTTCATCTTGTTAATAAGGTGTTTAAGACTATAAATTTTCTTCTAGTTTTTATTTCATTTGTAACCCATGAATTCTGATACATAATATTTTCATTATTGTTAAAAAATATATGACTTCTATTTGTATTTCATGTTTCTTCCAAGAGTTGTTTAGAAGGAAGTTATTTAATTTCCATATGAAAATACTTTTTAATTTTTGAAAATTTGTGAGTAATTTCTAGTTTTATTGCACTGTGATCAGAGAATACTATTTTTTAGTCAATCTGTTTTATGGGGGAGAACCTAATAAAAGGTCAATGTTTTGAATGTTACATATGCAGTTGAGAAGAAGATTTATGCTCTGCTTTTACTTTGTAAAGTTAAATATATAACTGTGCATATGTACGCGCTAAGTTGCTTCAGTTGTGTCCAACTCTTTGCGACCTTAGGGACTGTAGCCCACCAAGCTCCTCTGTCCATGGGATTTTCTGGGCAAGAATACTGGAGCGAGTTGCCATGCCCTCCTCCCGGGGATCTTCCTGACCCAGTGATTGATCCCAGGTCTCTTTTATGTCCTGCATTGGCAAGCAGGTTCTTTACCACTAGTGCCACCTTATAACCATAAGCTCTACTAAGTAATTATATTATTTGGATCATCTGTATCCTTTCTTATTCTTAGTTAACTTAATCTGTTTTGTCCTAAGAGTGGAATATTAAAAAATCCTATTATCAGTGGGCCTCTGTCTATGTCTCCCTGAATCTCTTATAGTTTTGACTTCATAAAGGCATATGCTGTATTATTTGGTGCATAGATATTTATAATATACATTTAGTGAACTGAAACTTTTAACATAAAAGAGAGTCTACCTTTGACACAGTTAATTGTTTTTAGTTTTTAATTATACTTTATCTCTTATTGATATCATTGCTCCTGCTTTCATATTGTTTCCATCTTCCATATATCTTTTTCTGTACTTTTAGCATTTTTGATCCATGTTGTTTTTGGTATGTCTCTCGTATAGAGCATATATTTGGGTTTTGCTTGGTGAACTAAATAAAAAATCTTTTATTGTAATATGCAAGTTTAGTTTGTTGCTTACTCATGTCTGACTCTTTGTGACCCCATGAATTCTAATCTGCCAGGTTCCTCTGTCCATGGTATTTTCCAGGCAAGAATACTGAAGTGGGTTGCTATTTCCTTCTCCAGGAGATCTTCCCCACCCAGGAATCAAACTTGGGTTTCCTGCATTGCAGCCAGATTCTTTACCAACTGATCCACCTGGGAAGCTTTAACTTATTCATATTTTTTGATAAAAATATGTTTGGTAGCAAGTCTGTTGTATTTTGTTATGATTATTATGTCATATGTTCTGTTTATTGTTCCTGTATGTGATATATTTTATGTTGTAATTTGATTTTTTGCTCTTTTATTTAAAAAATTATATTTAGGTAAGGTTTTTTTTGCTTTGTTTTAGTGGTTGCCTTTGGTCTTATAAGTTTTGTAATGCTTTTATTCCCTTTATTTTATTTAAATTTAAAGAAAAAAAAACCCAAGCAGTTCACTCAATTCTCATATCTGCTGCCTCTGGCAACCACCAATCTCTGTTCTCTGTGTAAGCTTGTTTTGTTTTTGTTTTTGTTTATCTATATTGTTGCAGTTGGCACAATTCCATTCTTCTCTTATGGCTGAATAATATTCCACTGTATTCGTATGCTACAATTTCTTTATCCGTTTATCTGTTGATGGACACTTTGGTTGTTTCCACATTTTGACTGTTGTAAATAATGCTGCGAGGAACATGGGGATACATATATCTTTTCATGTTAATGTTTTTGTTTCCTTCAGATAAAAATTCAGAACTGAAATTGTTCGATTATATGGTATTCTATTTTAAAATTTTGGGGGAACCTCTCTACTGTTTTTCATATTGGCTACACCAATTTGCATTCCCACCAGTGATGCACTATGGTTCCCATCCTTGCCAGTAATTTCAACAGTAAGCTCATCAAATCTTGTTCAATAGATTTATAGAACTTTATTTCCAGCCCTTCCTCTTCTCTGGGTATTCAGTGGATGGGGCTGAAAATTCCATCCCTTTAGTCACATGAGACTATGTAAGGACTCCATCTGAAGTCACCTTATTAGCATAATCTCAGGTGTGCTCCAGAGGGAGTCCTTATAAATAACAACAAATACATTCCTTTATTTGGGCTTCCCTGGTGGCTCAGAGGTTAAAGCATCTGCCCACAATGCAGAAGACCTGGGTTCGATCCCTGGGTCAGGAAGATCTGTTGGAGAAGGAAGTGGCAGCCCATTCCAGTATTTTTACCTGGAAAATGCCATGGACAGAGGAGCCTGGTGGGCTACAGTCAACGGGATCGCAAAGAGTTGGACAAGATTGAGCAACTTCACTTCTTCCTTTATTCGGGAATTTCCAGGGGTTTTAGGAGCTCTGTGCCAGGAACTGCAGGTAAAGATCAAATATAATTCTTATTATGTTATACTGATCTAGGTCAAGTTTTTTTTGTTTGTATCTCCAAATGCTTGTTTGGAGATATTAGTTCCATTTAGAATGTTATATTACAGTTTTCTTACACTTCGCTATTTATTTTTTTGAGGCGATCTTTTCTCAGGTGAATTGTTTGAGTTTATGACATCAATTGAAGGAATTTTTTTTTACAGTAGAGTAAGACTTTATATGTTTCTGCATATCTGTGTACAGGACTGATGCATATGTTTCTGCATATCTGTGTACAGGACTGATGCTTCAGGACTGGTAGCTTTCTTTCCTTTTAGTCTTCTTTTCCCTTTAAACTATTAACTTCCTAAAATACCACCTTGTGTCCTGTGCACTTTAGAATCTGTACTCTATTCTATGCTAAGCTTTTTCACTCATAGGATAGGCTTTCTCTTTGTGGTGGTAGCTTTAAATCAGTTTTTGACCTGATCCTAGCTCTTCTCTGTTCTATTCAGTTTTTCCTAAATTCCCCTTGCTGTTCAGTAAAGCTTAGATCTAGAACATGGGAGAATGCACACTGAGATTCTGTTTTTATTCTTTTTACGTGTAATTACAAGTTGCAATTTGTTAAAGGCCTGAGTTTTATTTGTTCTTTTTGCTGTCCTGTATTGGTTTTTGTGAGGATACACTAAGAGGTTTGGATTTACATGGCCTCATTACTTCAATACCCAGTATTCCTTTCTCCTTTAGTTCTAAGTCAGTATTTGATATGGCAGAAGCTATGTAACTTTATTTATGTGGAATGTAATTCTGATAGAATAAATTACAACAATGCCTGAGGAGAAATTACATGCCCTAACTCGGTTTTTTTTTGGACTGATCCAATACAAGCAGGCAGACACACTGGGAAGTATAATCATACTAAGTCTTCCAGCTCTCAATTAGAAGGATACCATGACCAATTTTTTTATGTAATAGTCTGTATAAAATAGTCTGAAGTGATTATAGAATTTTTAGCTTGGGAGCCAAAAAATGGCAACATGCTAGACAGGAGGAAAACCTATCAGTTGTTCACCACCCACCCCAAGCTCTTCCAGACTGCACCTATGGAGCTAGATCATTGGCTGGAGGTGAGGGCTGTAAGCATGGATTTGAAGGCCATTAACTTAGATGGTTTAGCCCAGAAGAATGCATCAATCAAAGGGAGATAAGTTTAGAGAAAGAAGAGCAAGCCAAACAGACAGTCGTCAGGAGGGAATTAATGTTGGAAGGAAGAAGGGAACAGGTTATCCAAAACAAGAGGAGGCCTTGGAGCATGCAGTATGTCAGAGAAACTGCAGGCAAGAATGTCAACCCCACATGTGTGGCCTGTGTAACGTGAGATCCTCCAGGGAGACTAAACAAGACCAAGAGTGAGCTTGGAATCTTCCCTCTCACATAGTGTCACTTGTGGGCTCAGAAGAGATTTCTGAATATAGAATCCAGTTCTTGGATTTCAGAATCTCTTCTGGAGTTTGAAGCTGATTGCCACAGGCTTGACAACTGAAGTGGGGGCATTAATCTTGGGACATCTTAAATCCATTTCACTGACCTTTTCTAATTAAAGGGGAAAACCTAGTGACTGCTTGTTCTTGCTTTGCAGAATTGTCATTATGATCTTAATTTTATTGACCACTCCCTGTTTTATCTATATACTTAAGTATCCCTAAACACACAGTTGGGAGATGCCTCACTTTTGTTGATGTAGGTTTATCTCAGGAATATTTGTCCAGACTGGACTTTTGAATGCAGACTGCAGTACTCTGAAATCTTGTAGGTACCTAACTATGCTCAGATATCATTGCAGTTTTGTGGCACAGAGTCTTCCCTCCACTTTTTAATTGAAGTATAGTTGATTTATAATATTGTATTAGTTTCAGGTGTATTACATAGTGATTCACTACTTTTATAGATTCTTTTTCTCTCCACTTTTAAGAATTAGGGTGTGGTTTTTTTTCTTAATCCTGAGCAGGACTAGAGATTGGGGGATAGATATTCAGTGCTTCTAGGAGAGAGAGATGGCTTAGGTCTTGGTTCTGTGACATACTGCAAGATCAGAAGCATCACTGTTAAACATTTGGTAAGATTGTGATCATAATTAGGTTATGTGAAATCTTTAACATTGTTGAAAAAGACTTCAAATAGGCAATTTTGTCTATATAACTAGAGTTTAGGTTTCTTTACTCTGAAAGTGGAATGTCCTCACAAGCTCCCAAAGTGATTGAAGAACTGCATAAAAGGACATACCTGAAAATACTGTGCTAATTCTTTATCTAGGTTTCCAATCTTTACTTCTCTTCTTAAGTCACCTCCCCTGCCCTATTCTCTGCACTTTTCAGCAAACCACCTTCTCTCTCTCTTTAAAAAAAAAATAATTGTAGGGCTCTAACACAAATTATCTTAATTTTTTCTGTGCTGTGCTTAGTCATTCAGTCATGTCCGACTCTTTGTGACCCCACGGACTGTAGCCCGCCAGGCTCTTCTGTCCATGGGAATTCTTCAGGCAAGAATTCTGGAGTGGATTGCCGTGCCCTTCTATAGGGGATCTTCCTAACCCAGGGATCGAAGCCATGTCTCTCATGTCTCCTGTCTTGGCAGGCGGGTTCTTTACCATCTCAGCCACCAGGGACGCCCCAATTTTCACTGCAAACCTGTAAATTTATCTAAACCTGTACCTATCCATTTCTTCTGTGCCAGTCAGAACCCATGCACCTGAGTGGGTTTAAACCCATACACTTCTATGTCCTTCAGCACTTTTCTCCATTAAATGCCTACTTTCCGTTGTATCATCCGTCTGCAACTCTCTACTGACTTTCTCCTCAGCCTGTAACTTCTTCCTGTGTCCTGTATTTTCCTTTAAGTTCCCTTTCTTTCTTAACCAAGCTTTGTCGTTGTTTATAGTCGCTAAGCTGTGTCCGACTCTTCACAACTCCATGGGCTGTAGCCCTCCCGACTCCTCTATGGGAGTCTGTGGGATTTCCCAGGCGAAAATACTGGTGTTGCCATTTCTTTCTCCAGGAGATCTTCCCAAATCAGGGATCGAGCCCATGTCTCCTGTGTTGGCATGCAGATTTTTTTTTTTACCGCTGAGTCACCTGGAAGCCCTAGCCAAGCTTTCGAGCCCCCTGAGGCTCCATTCACCAAGACCATAAAAAGCTCTGCGGTCCCAGGTGCTCTGCTTGGAGGTCTGACTTAGCCTATCTTATTTGAATCTATAAAATGGATCCACATCACTGATTTCACAGGGCTAATTACCTTGAAAGATTTGTATGCTTTGGCTTTTGAAGTCATCTTGCAATGAGTGGCTTACTTGTGATGAATTATGGTTTCTTGGCAATCATTATGCTTACTTAGGAATTTTGGGGAAGTAAAAAAAAATCCAACCTAAAAGTTGTTTTTAAATGGAATGAAATGTTTAAATACAACACTTAACAATTAGTAATGTTAAATTTATATGTACTTAATTAAAAATTGATTTTAATTGTCAGCTCTCAGACATTCTTGTAGATCCTTGGAAGCTTATAGTCCTCCACGCTTAGGGCGATATGTCCGTTTACTCCTAAGCCTAAAGCTGGCTTAGCCCCACTTCTTTACTGAAATTGCTCTGGCAGAAGCATCAGTGACCTCAATAATACCAGTCCACTTGTCAGCACTTGTACTGGACCTTGTTGCTGTATTTCGAATTGTTGATCAGGCTTTCCTTCTTAAAACTCCTTACCTTAGGGATTCCATGTTCTTCTTTTTTGTTTTTATTTTCTCATCCTTCCCAGCCCTTCCTTTCTGTACTTCATCGTGGCATCTTTTTCTCTCCCCTTTAAACTCGGTAAACTCTGGCTCAGTGTACTTCTACATGTGCCTTCTAGCTGATACTGCCCACCCCCCTTGTCCAGCTCTGACCTCTCTTGCCCAGCTCAGGCCCACTTCTTCAGCTCTCTGCTGGATGCACACAGCTGAGTGTCCACACAGGCATCTCATTCTTTATTTCTTCACTTCCTTCACTCTGCAAGGTTTGCATATTTCTCTACGTTATTTGTCTCAGTTATTGAGAACAGTAGCCCTAGTCAGACCTAAACCCTGGAGTTCTCCTTTTCTTCTATAAAATTGAGAAACACTTTCCCAATATGAAGTGGAATAAAAAAGATTTGAACCCAGTTTCTTCACTGGCAGTACATAGAGACAAAATCATTTTTCTTCCAGAAATAGGATTTTAATTTTAACATATAATTTTGGAGGAACTGGCATCCCACCCCAGTATTCTTGCCTGGACAGAGGCGCCTGGCAAGCTCTAGTCCATAGGATTGCAAAGAGTCAGATCATGACTGAAGCAACTTAGCCTGCTTGCATAGCTACTACTGTTCAGCTTCATGCAGGATGTGACTAGAAGCTACTAGTCATATATTCCAGGATAGGGTTATCAGACTTTCTTATGCAAAGGAAGATGAATAGAAAAAGAAATCAAAATTATTTGAAAAACGTAATTTTTTAATGTATGTATATATGTATGCACATTTGTAACTCTCAACACATGTTGAAAATATGACTTTAATTGTACTAACTTGTTGTTTGACTTTTGTCTCATTACTTGTGAGTGGTGACCACTCATTGGAAAGGTCAGGAAAGGTGCATTTTGGGTAGATTTTTACTCCACGTGGTATTAGTTAAATTTATCCTCTGAAGAATTTTAAATCTCATTGGATTGATAATATTTTTAGTGACAGAAGAATTATTAAAAAAAAAAAAAAAGATCTGAGACATAAGACGAACAGTCACCAGTTTAGTTTTTAGCACTGGTAATTTTACATATAGCTCTGTAGATTCTGTGTGGCTAGTTTCTCTAACATAGGCTCTTCAAATATATATTTTCATTTACTTGTCAATTTATATTTTGTTCTGTTTTTAAGCTTTTAAAACAGTTTATATGGTGGGCATTATATCAAAACTGATGCTATGGTGGACATTTTAGTTTTATAAAATTCAAGTTCTATATTTTTTTATGTGGGTAGATTATCTTATCTAACTGGGAAAAGTTTTAAGTCCTTTCTTTACCTGTAGAGTAGCTCATTATGTTTCATCAATTAAGTAATAACGATCTAAAAAAGTAATGTATAACATAGATTTGAAATTATTTAGTATAGTTTAGGTTAAATAAAAACTCCAATCTTTTGGAAAAAATATCAGAACTCCTTCAG